GACCACCGTATCTTGTGCTGACCTCCTATCTCATCATGTAACTAAGAATGCCTTAACCTCCTGCCAATGCAGCCCCGTAGGCCTCAGTCTTATTTTACTCAGCCTGTATTCAAGACGGAGTTGCACTGGTTCAAATGCCTCTGACACCTGTAGTCCCAGCTCCTTGAGAGGCTGAGGTGGGAGGACAGCTTGAACCTGGGAGGTTGGGACTGCAGTGAGCTGTGGTCACATCACTGCATTGCAGCCTGGGTGACAAAGTGAGGCCCTGTCTTAAAAAAAAATTATGAACAAAACTGACTTTAACTTTGCCTTGTGAATTTCAAACACCTTTGCACAATGCAGATGTGCTTTATATGTCACCGGCCTACACACCCTGGGTAAGGAATTAGGCCTGGAAGTGAGGCACTTCCGTGGGTTTCACTAACTTCCTGCCAGTCCCTCATTATGTGATTTGAGTTCATTGTACATTGGCAAAGTGGCAAATGGCACTAGGTAGAAAGACTGATACAGTACTTGTTCAGGCAGATGGCTTGTTGATAGCCCGTGAAAGAGCTCTGCCGGGAGCCCTCAATTGTTCCTTGAAGGGTAGTGATAGGAAGTAACTCAGCAACTTGCTTTCATTGGACATGGCTTGTCAGGTATAATTTGTCCTCTCCTTTCACTTAGGGATAGCCTTAAGTTACCAACACATGAAGTCTGGGGACACATTCAAACCATAGCACAGCTCCAGTCTTAAGGCAATCTGGAAGTAGAATTTCCTCTTCCTCAAGGGATCCCAGTCTTTTTTCACTTAAGGCTTTCAACTGATTGGGTAAGGCCCAACCACATGAATGGTAATCAACATTATTTCAAGTCTGTGATTTAAATGTTAATCTCATCTAAAAAATACATTCAAAGTGACATTATTATTATTTTTTCTTTGAGATGGAGTCTTGCTCTGTGGCCCAGGCTAGAGTACAGTGGTGCGATCTTGGCTCACTGCAACCTCCACCTCCTGAGTTCAAGCAATTCTCGTGCCTCAACCTCCCAAGTAGCTGGGATTACAGGCACGAGCTACCACGCTCGGCTAATTTTTTATTTTCAGTGGAGACAGGGTTTCACCATTATAACCAGGCTGGTTTTGAACTCCTGACCTTAAGTGATTCTCCCACCTCAGCCTCCCAAAGTGCTGGGATGACAGGCATGAGCCACCACGCCTGGCCTCAACGTGTCATTTAAACTGGTATTTGACCAAATATATGGGTACCATGACCTAGCCAGGTTGACACATAAAATTAAGCATCCCAGTAGAGAGGCCTAGAACAGATCTTTCACTGTCTCAGAAGGAATCGGCCCTGCAAACAACTCGAACCTCAGCCTTCTAGCCTCCAGAACCATGAGACAACGAATTTAAGCCACCCAATCTATGGTACCTTCTTCCAAGCTAATACGTCGGCCTGAAGACCTCAGGTAGGGAGTTAGGCCTAGAGATAAGGAACTTCCATGGAATTCACTGACTTCCTACCAGTCCCCTTTAATGTAATGGCCGCACATCTCTGGCTCCCTGAGTTCAGTGCACATTGGCAAAGTGACACATATGCAGAGCGAAGTGCATGGCACTATGCCAAAAGACCATCTTCTCACCCTGCCGTGTGCTTCATTTCACAACGCACACAGAGATGATTCTCCCTCCTTCCGCATAGGTGTAGCCTCCTCCCGTCAAGCTCAGATGGAGCAGGGTCAAGGACAACAATACAGAGAAGAGCTAGTTCACAGCCAATTACAGGCAGGAACGTGCACAAAGAGAGGGGTGGATGAAAGCACAATATTTGCCTTCTTGCTCAGCATCACTGGGAACCGTGACGTGGGTTTCATTTCTTACACTCTTCTTGGAAAGATGGTATGAAGAAGTAAAGTTCAGGTCTGTAAGTGAAATGCATCAAACTCAAAATAAAAGAGATGTATCTTTAAATGTAACTTTTGTTTATTGAGATGGCGTCTCCCTCTGTTGTCCAGGCTGGAGTGCAGGGGCACGATCTCTGCTCACAGCAACCTCCGTCTCAGGAGTTCAAGTGATTGTCCTGCCTCAGCTTCCCAAGTAGCTGGGAATATAGGCATGCGCCACCACGCCCAGCTATTTTTTTTTTTTTTTTAATATCTTTAGTGGAGACGGAGTTTTACCATGTTGGCCAGGCTGCTTTCGAACTCCTGACCTCAGGTGATCTGCCCACCTTCCTTGGCACCCTAAGTGCCCGGATTACAGTGCTGGGATTACAGGCGTGAACCACTGTGCCTGGCCCAAATGTAACATTTTATTTGGGAAGCAAGAATCAGAATTTGGGGCATACACACAGATTGGATGGTCTTCAGCATGTCTGAGGAACAAAGAGTAGGTTGGAGATTTTATAAAAAGGAGGAATATTACATATTGTTTTGGAAGAAAATTCATTGGCACTAGTAAAGTTTTTGGGACCTGACAAGCACTAACTGGTGAGTGATGGCGGTGGCTAAACCTATTTTGAGAGGCACAGCAAGTTGTTTTAGTAGCTACAAGATAAAACTGGTTTCAAGTTACAACAGTTTTAGCAACGGGCTTATGGAAAATTTAATTCTTGGAGCAGGTGCTATGTGCCCTGAGTACTGCTTCCCCCATCCACTTGACTCCGATTTAGTTGGGTATGACAAGAAGCACCCACCCAATTTTGGGATTTCGTTTTGGCCTGGGGCAGGAGTGGTTTTTATTTTTGTTTTTTTTTTGAGACAGAGTCTTGCTCTGTTGCCCAGTCTGGAGTGCAGTGGCATGGTCACAGCTCACTGTAGCTTCGACCTGGGCTCAAGTGATCCTCCGACCTCAGCCCCCTGAGTAGCTGGGACTACAGTTACCCACCACCATACCTAGCTAATTTTTTATTTTTCATAGAGATAGGGTCTCATTATGCAACCCAGGTTGGTCTCGAACTCTGAATTCAAGAAATCCTGCCCCTTTGGCTTCACGAAGTGCTGGGATTACAGGAGTGAGCTACCACACCTAGCTGAAAGACCGAGTTTGTATGATCAGCTTTGCCAAGTGTGTCTTTAGTGCCTCTCGACTTCTTTTTGTGCCTTTTGCCCCTGGCCATGGTGATAGTGGCGAGTCATGCTTTTTGCAGGAGAAGGTAGAATCTGCAGCAATAGAACACCCTGCTGTCAAGTGGTTTGCTTTTGTGTTTCCCTTGATCATCACTGTTTTTAAAGGTAAACACCAGTGTTTTTTGTTTTGAGTTGAATTAGATAAAATGACGTGGACATACATGGACTGATTTTAAGGAGCGGAGAGTTTAATAGGCAAGAAGGAAGGGAGAAGACAGAAGAAGCTTCCCTTACAGAGACAAAGCGGGGTGCTCCAAAGCTGAGAGAGGAGACCCCAACTGGGGTGGAAACCAGCTAGGTATATGTAGAGGCTGGAGAAGGCGGTGTCTGATTTGCATAGGGCTCAGGGGATTAGTTTGACCAGGCATGTTATTTATGTAGCCCATGAAAAAACTGACCTTTCCACCCTACTCTTTTAATATGCAAATGCAGGGCACCCTGATGTTCTATACACGAGGAGATATGTGGGGGTGGCCATGTTACCAAGCACAGGTGGGGACAAGGGCAAGTCAACAATGGTGGGAATAGCCATGTTGGGTGGACCCAGTTTCTAATGGCCTGCATTTGCATATCAACAACTCCTACCAAACTAAGAGATGCAGCTCTGACCGAGCAGACAGGGTCCCTACCACTGTGGGGCTTAGATACTGGAGAGGATACAGTCGAAAAGTACATTCCTGGTCAGATATTAATTCAACTGCAATAAGCACTGTGAGCACAAAGAAGGTTCTGGGCTGACCTGGTGAGCATGTGGTCCAGGGAGCTTTGAGGAAGTGACACTGGCATCAGCCACCTGAAGCAGGGCTGGGGATTCACCAGGCACAGATGGAGGAGAGTCCAAGAAAGAAGAGCATCTGCACAGGCCGAAGGGAAAGACAGGAAGAAGTTGAAAGAACTGAAGTCCAGGTAGCTGGTGGGCGGGCAGGAGTACAAGTGATTTTAGCAGGGCCAGGGCACATGGCCTTGTAGGCATACCACAGTCATGGCTACACGAATGGTGTCCTGAACAGCTGTCTGAATGTGTCTCAAGTACTCAAAGTAAACACTTCAAAATCTGCAGTGGAATGAATTTGTAACCAAAAAAAATTGATTTTTTTTCATTTCAGAATGTATTTGTTCATTTGGAACAGGGGTACTTTTCACGGAAAATAGATGAAGCAATACTGGGGTTGGGAGAGTGTTCAAAGTTAATATTATCATCATTTCAGAACACCATAGTGAATACCCTAGAAAGTATCATCTTCGGAGACTTTGACTGTGACCATGTGAAAGGTAGAGAGAGAATTCAGGATTTACTTTGTCCATTTTCCCATGTTCAAGGGCCATTGCGTTACACCTAAAATTGGCAGAGTCACAGATTATATTTAAGCTCAGATTTCAAAACTATCCATGACTATTTTGGCAGGATGTGTCTCGGTTTTTTGTTTCGTTTTGTTTTGTTTCTTAAGCAATCTAGATACAGATGTTTGTTTTTATTCAGACAGCCTGGAGGGGGCTTTAATGTTGGGATTGTTTGTACGTGTAAATACCATGCTGGATAATTAACTGGGATTTCCTGAAGCAATTTGTTTTTAATTTTAAGAAACTGTACTGTAAACAGTTTTTTCATTCTTGTGGATAAAGAGAAGCTTTTCTCTGGACTTCTAATATTTGCCAACCCTGAGGGCAAGGCAAAGCATGTGTGTCTGTCCTCAGGACCCTCCCTGCCCTCCCCAGAGGGGACCAATGAGTTTGAGGAACAGGAGTGGATAAACTGTTGACTCTCATCTGCCCTCCCTCCCTCCACCTCAGGGTGTGTATGACTAGTCAGAATGTTGTTATACTTAGAGGTTTCTCCATGATCTTAAGTCTCTGTTGTTTACAGCTTTCCCTGTCTGCCCTCCTTCCCCTAGGTTATTAGGTTCCTGCAACTTAACTGGGAACTGTTCAAGATTTCAAGCTAAAAATGGTGGTGATGAACAGCCTGAGGGTCATTCTTCAAGCATCTCCAGGCAAATTGCTGTGGAGAAAGTTCCAGATTCCAAGATTCATGCCAGCCAGGCCCTGCAGCCTCTATACTTGTACTTACAAAACCCGGAACCGAGCCTGTGAGTACACCACTTCCTCAAAGAGAACACAAAGGGCTCCTGCCTGGGTGACAGAGCAAAATCTCATCTTTTAGAAAAAAAGAAAGGAGGGAGCAAGTGCGCAAGAGCAAAAAAAATGTCTACAACAATCACACTTGATAAACATTTGTAGCTATGCTGTCTTTGGTTTTCCAGTGTAGGATTATATGCCTTATGAACTGTGAGAAAAACTGTTTATTGATTCATGAAAGTAATTGTAGAATGTTCTTTCTTGACTAATTTTAGCATGTTAAAATGATATCATGCAGAAACTGGATAAGAGGCAGATCTCAGTTTTTAATATTTTGGAAACTGTTGTTTATTATTTCTTGGTAACAATTGTCTTTTTTTCCTTTTGAACAAAGGTTAATCCACAGAACACAGATTATTTCTGGGAATCTTAAGTTTCTGGAAATTGCTTGTAAATGCTTGTAAACAGTTTACTAGCTTCAACCTTCTGGAATATTCTGTCCTGGGTTAGGAATTACAGACTTAATTCTAGCTGGCCAGTTTGCAAGTGTGTGCTCCGCCTTAAGGACGGAAGACTGAGTCAGGCAGGAAATGGTCCTCTGCCTACTAAATGCTAGTAGCACCCTCATGAAGTTGTAACAACCAAAAATGTCTGCAGTCATTGCCCAACCAGCTCTGCGTAAGAGGATGGGAAAGGATAATGTATGTATTTGTGGACAGATAACTTTGAGTTACTGGAGAGATGAAGTGGCTAAGCATTATCATTAAGGAGGAATTTTACATGTTTTCCATTATTTACAAAACCTTGGCACAGAGTTTTCAAATGTTGGACTGCACTGAGGTGTAGGTTTCTCCACTTTCGTGTTTATTTTCTTTTAACGCTATCTGCAGAGAACAAAAAGACTGGGTAAGAATGGAATGCTTGTAAATTAGTAATGCTAATCTAGCTACATCCAAGGGCTTGAAACTGCTCCACAAATACATTTTCAGTATAAGTTTGTTTCCTTCAACATTGACTGTGGTCTTTTTCAAATAAACGGGCCAGGGCATAATAAATTTCTGGTTGCTGGGTGTGGTTTCCTACGAGCATGCCACATCCTACCGAGACTGGCTTGTTCCGAACACTGGCACTTTGTGGTTTAGGGTTTATATTGGAAAGTATGAGTCTTGCTTCTTTTTTTTTTTTTTTTTTTTTTGACAGAAAGTTGAAATTAAACGTCCCAATCCGGTATGCTTATGTAGTTAGGAAAGTTTGCTGCTTTTAGCGCTGACAAAAAACAAAAAAGCAGTAGTGGCTTCAGGAGGGGCAGCTTTACTTAGTGAATTTCCCACAACAGATGACATGTTATTGTTTCGAAGTTACTAGGAAAAACGGGAGAGTGAGTCACCATTTGATTCCGTTTGTGGCATATTACACTGTTTCCAACCTGGTTGCCCCACTTTGGGCACATGTTCTCAGGACCTCCTGTGGGCTGTGTCATAGGCCGTGGTCACCCATATTTGGCTCAGAATAAATCTCTTGAAATATTTTACAGAGTTTGGCTCTTTTCGTTGACAATTGGTTTGGCGGGGAAAGGTAGGACATCTCTAAGCAGGTGCTTACAGGTCATAAGTAAGTGGATTCAAAGATTTTCTGATTGGCAGATGGTTGAAAAAGTTAAGCTTTGCCCAAAGAGTTGAAGTCAACTGGAGTTCAGATAAGAGGGGGTTGTAGAAGCCAAGGTTCTTGTTATGTAGATGAAGCCTCACAGTAGCAGGCTTCAGAGAGATTAGATGGTAAACATCTCTTAGAGGACCTTAAAAGGTGTCAGATCTCTCCTGGATCAGGAAAAGACCTGGAAAGGGACAGGGCTTCTCTACAGAATACACATTTCTCCCACAAGGGATGGCTTTGCAGGGCCATTTCAAAGTATGTCAAATAAATATATTTTGGAGTAAGGCCAGGTACAGTGGCTCATGCCTGTAATCCCAGCACTTTGGGAAGCTGAGGCGGGTGGATCACCTCACCTGAGGCGGGAAGCTGAGGTCAGGAGTTTGAGACCAGCCTGGCCAACATGGCAAAACCTCATCTCTACTAAAAATACAAAAATTAGCCAGGCCTGGTGGTATGTGACTGTAATCTCAGCTACTCAAGAGGCTGAGGCAGAAGAATCGCTTGAACCCAGGAGGCGGAGGTTGCTGGTGAGCTGAGATCATGCCATTGCACTCCAGCCTAGGTGACAAGAGCAAAACTCTGTTCCCCCCCACGCCAAAAGAAATATATTTTGGGGTAAAATACTTTGATTTCTTTCAGGGCCCGCTATCTGTCATGTGATGCTATACCAGGGTCAGGTTGGAGGTAGATATTTTATTGCTACAAAGAGTCTGTTATGTCAGTCTTATGATCTCTATTTGAGTATTAATGCTGGTCAGTTGTGTCTAAACTCCGAAGGGAGGCGGTATAATGAGGCATTCCCAACCTCTTTTCCCTTCATGAGCTGAACTAGTTCTTCAGGTTTCTTTGGGATCCCCCTGGCTAGTGTAGGGGGGAACCATTCAGTCAGTTGGGAAGCTTGGAATTTCATTTCTGGTTTGCATGTGGGAAGTCCTTAGCTAGTGCTGTCACACGGTGAGGACTCAGTGTTGGCCGCTACTTCTCGCACTACAACTGTTACCATTATCATATGCTCAGTGCCTGCCTCGGATGTTTAAATCTGACCATTTTAGAGCAGAAGAAGCAGAATAAGGAGAGAATGAAAGTAGGAGGTTGTGGCAAATTCAGAAAGCTGCATTTCAGGTCAGCCTTGTGCCCTGTGCTCATATCTTTGCTCCCAAGGCTCCCTGCAGATAATCTTTAGCTGTCAACTCAGATTGCTGTTTGCTGTTATCTCAGGTAGCAGACAGTAACTGCTGATAGCCATAACCTTGGACACTTGCAATATAATAAGATAAAGATAAAAGCCTGTACCTATTATCAGTGTGGAAACGAAATCAGTTTCCCTTACTTATATCATCTGGTGAAATTTAGCCTAATGGTCACATAAAAAGATTTAGGCATGAGATCTTAGACCATAGGAAAGTGCATTTAATAATTCTTAATTTAATAAAATATAAAGAATATCAGGTAGAATGGAAATGATACTGATTTGTTATTCCAATGATTCTTTTTTTTTTTTTTTGAGACAGAGTTTCCTGCTTGTTGCCCAAGCTGGAGTGCAATGACACCATCTTGGCTCACTGCAACCTCCACCTCCCGGGTCCAAGCAATTCTCCTGCCTCAGCCTCTCAAGTATCTGGGATTACAGGTGTTATAGGCATGCACTAGCATGCCCAGCTAATTTTTTGTATTCTTAGTAGAAATGGGGTTTCACCATGTTAGCCTGCTGGTCTTGAACTCCTGACCTCAGGTGATCCACCTGCCTCAGCCTCCCAAAGTGTTGGGATTACAGGTGTGAGCTACTGTGCCCAGCCTATTCCAATGATTCTTATTTGTTTGTTTGTTTTGAGACGGAGTTTCGCTCTTGTTACCCAGGCTGGAGTGCAATGGCGCGATCTCGGCTCACCGCAACCTCCGCCTCCTGGGTTCAAGCAATTGTCCTGCCTCAGCCTCCCGAGTAGCTGGGACTACAGGCGCGCACCACCATGCCCAGCTAATTTTTTTGTATTTTTAGTAGAGATGGGGTTTCACCTTGTTGACTAAGATGGTCTCGATCCTTGACCTCGTGATCCACCCGCCTCGGCCTCCCAAAGTGCTGGGATTACAGGCACGAGCCACCGTGCCCAGCCTCCAATGATTCTTAATGTTCATGATCTCCCTACTTTTATAAGGAAGAGAAACATGTTAGGATAATAGGAACAAAAGGAGGCAGCACTGTATAAAATGTAGCCACTAGGTCAGGCACGGTGGCTCACGCCTATAATCCCAGCACTTTGGGAGGCCGATGTGGACGGATCATGAGGTCAAGAGATCGAGACCATCCTGGCCAACATGGTGAAACCCTGTCTCTACTAAAAATACAAAAATTAGCTGGACGTGGTGGTGGGCGCCTGTAGTCCCAGCTACTCAGGAGGCTGAGGCAGGAGAATCACTTGAACCGGGAGGAGGAAGTTGCAGTGAGATTATGCCACTGCATTCCAGCTCCGTGACACAGCGAGACTCTGTTTCAAAAAAACAAACAAAAAAAAAAATGTAGCCACTAACCCCATGTGGGTATTTACATGTAAATTCATTAAAATTAAATTCATTATAATTTTATAGCTACATATGCCTAGATCTTAGTATACTGGACATTTCAATCATCAAAGAAAGTTCTATTTGACAGCAGTAATCTATATCATAACTGTACTGTGTTTGAAAGTTATTCTATTCTTTCTCCAATTAATTTTGAAGAATACAAATAAAGCCTGGAGATAAATAAAAAGCTTGTTTTGCAGGATTTTCACAAAGACTCCTGATAATATAGACTCAGGAAGCCCCTAGATGATCTTTTATTAACATACACAAAATCTTGAGAAACAATGAGCTGCTTAGGAGCCACTTAGAATTACATTAATGGCCTCAGGGTTATCTTCAGCTGCCTGGGACTGACAAATAGCCCTGGAACTGATCACCAGGAAATGTGGGCTTTAGTCTCCTGTGCTGATAACTGCACGTGTATCCTGTGGCTAATGGACTTGGCATTCAAGTGCCTTTTATAGCCCTGATGATGCTCTAACAAGGCAGTTTGTGATTTTACGATCATCCTCAACCAAGCCATACAGAGAGAGGGTCCCTGTGTATACACCCATCACTGCATTAAGGCCAAGGTTTACACAAATGGTCTTCAGTGACTCGAGGAAGTAGCACGTCCCTCATAAAAAGGGCAGTACATAGCAAGGGACCAGAAAAAGCACACGAGGGTATAAGGCAACGATTTCCAGTAAATAATGTAAGCCACAAATACGAGCCATATGGGTAATTCTATATTTTCTAATAGGCCAGGTACAGTGGCTCATGCCTATAATCCCAAGACTTTGGGAGGCCAAGGTGGGAG